AGTTCCTGGGTTAGTTACAAAGTGTAGAGTGTCCCTTCCCTCTTCTGTCCTCTCATTCTTTTCCTGTTCCGCCAGGCAGCTCTACACCACCAGTGGACACACAGTGGCCCTTGTTGCTATGATACCAGAGAGTAATATTTGCATTGAATATTAATTGGGCCCTCAGATCCCCCAGCTGGGAAGAGAAATGTCCTCCTGTTATGTGAGAATGATTCAGACGACAAGGGAGACACCCAAAAAAGAAAGCAGATATAACGGATGTAGAAAAAAAAACTCAATTTGTGTTCAGTTCTGCTGACATAAGATATAACTAAAGCAGTCGTGTAGTTAATGTGCTTAAATGATTTGCATGAAGCATTATTTTACCTAACAGAGTGATTACTGGAGCTCCCAGTCCTCCAATTACACAGATTATTGTGCTGCATCCCTGCTTTGCCCCACACTCAATCAGAAAGAGAATAAGGGTGTTATTGCAGTGAGCCTGAGGTAATGGGGGCTAATTTTCAGTCTTTTTCTCTGATTATACATTTCTTAGAGGAAGGAAAACCAGATGGTCATAAATCAGACTGAATATTTGCAGCTTTATATAAATCAAAGTTAACCAAACTAGCTTATATTTGCAAAATCCAAGAGGACTGGCTGTTCTTTTTGAACAGTGGTGTTTGACTACAAATTTTGATATTCCCCTTTAAAGGTTCTAACAATGGTTAGCAGGAATTTTGGCCTATTCTTCCAGAAGTTAGGAGACTTGGCCTGATTTGTAGGTCGCTAAGTTAGCACAAATCTTTTCAGCTCTACCCGAATACATTCTTGGACCTGAGGCCAGGGCTTTATGATGGTCAGTCCAGAAGTCTGGTTCTGTTGTAGCTGGGCCACCTTGTAAGTAATATTGCGAAACGTTTAATGCCCATGTCCATTTGGAGAGCCGGTTAACACTCTGTGAATGGATAGAGCAGACTTTACTTATTAAAGTAAAGCTTGAATTAAACAAGTTGGAGTGATCCTTTAAGTGCCACGTACCTTTAAGTACCAAAGTACCACACCAAGTTTTCAGACCCTTGTTGTTCCCCTTGTTATTCTACGTGGTACTCTGTGCAAACATGTCTTCTAAACAGAAGTAGTACCAAATCAACTGACTTAATCTTCCGTACACCATAGAGCTTACCAATGATGTCAGGAGCATCTATCTTTAATATGGAAGTCAGGTACCAAACATTCTTGTTTTGTACCGTTTTGTTTTGTCTTCCAGTGTCTGCAGCAAGACGGTGCACATCTTCTAAACATCCGGAAACTGCGATCAGAGCTATGGCGTAAATAGCAGTAAGCAGCGACAGCAGTTGCTTACAGGCCGACGACCTCTTAGGGGCCACGTCACTGACATCTGGTTGGCCCCATACGCAATTGTAGACTAGGACGTCTATTTTTTTTTTACACTACGACTTGGAATTATGGGTAACCCAGAGCGTAGATTAAAACCATAACCGTTACGTACAATGTGTTAGCGACGATGGATACCAAAAAGAGGTACCTTAAGCGGATTCCAGAAAAGAAAAAGTTAAGAAGAGCTGCAGGAAGAACGGAAAAAACGTACCAAAATAAACACGTTCTTTTTAAGAACCGATGAGGGAGAGGTGGAAGTTGCTGCTACAGTGAGTAAAGATTGCGACCAGGAGATGAATGGAGAGTGTGTGGGTGAGGAGGAGGGCTGTGAAACTCAAGGTAGACCGCTGGGTTGTTGTGCTAACTTGTGGTGGGGTGCTGTCACCAATGGTTCCATTCAAGGTGCGCAGTCATTTTTCCATGTGTGATGTGTGATCATATACTACTAAGAACTGCATAATTTTGTCTTCTTGGCCAATTTATGGAACTGTCGCCGTATCCTGAACCTTTATCACGTGTTGTACTTCATAAGGGCCCCAGCCATATAATGTTGCTTATGTAACAACAAGAACATTATTAAAGCTGTCTAATTAATTTGCACAAGAAAAAAAAACTCAACATCTAAAGGAGCTTCTTGAAAATCCACTAAAGCCCCATTTACACTACCCTCTAAAAACTGATCGGTGCCGTATTCGGACCGAGCTTTATCAGTTAACCGTGCCGAGCTCGGTTCCTAATGACCGTTTACACACCACACTAGCACGGTTCCTCGCCTCCTAGTGACGATCTACGGTACTACTGCTCTCTTGAGGGAATCAAGCAAATCAATGCATAGGCTACAGAAAAATTAAAGCTAGCCTACTTCTGTTTTGTGTTGTGGATCTGCTGTGCGGCATTAAGA